TTGCCGATCTCCTCCACTCTTCCTACCACTCCATCCCCCACAGCTATTTCCTCCTGTACCACTATCCCCTCTCTCCTAGATTGTAAGCTCCAAAGAGCAGGGCCATCTAACCCCTCGTGTATCGAATTGTATTGTTACTGTACTGTCTCGTGTACTGTCTCCTATTGTAATGTACAGCGCTGAGCAAACTATTGGCGCTATATAAATACTGTATAATAATGAAAAAGAATAACATTGGTGGATTTGCGATGGGGCTCAAGTAAGTATTGAAGGGGCTGGGGGTACTACTGCACACAGATTTGTCTTACCTTCATGCGTAAAGGTAAAAAACCTTCAGCCTTTACAACCACTTTAATGAATCACTAACTGCAACAAGCAAGCAGCCAGGGAAGTCACAAAAATCTGAACTGCCATCTTCAATACATATTTCAGTTCAGTGCCTCACTAGGCAAAGACACCTTTATAAACAAGTGAGCAGTAAAATGTTCACATTTCTGTCCTTGTGGGTTTAATGTAAAACAGGGATGTGCAGGCTAGGCTGGATGTCAAAATACTGGGTGTTTTCCCACATACAAAAATTTACAATCAAGCTTATCAAATACCAAGATTACTGCCCTTATGCCGAATCACTTCCCCTGTAAGGTCATCAAAGTCAAAAATGCCTCATGTTAAGGACACCTTATTGTAGTGTCACCTATTCAGGCCTGCACTTCTTACCATCCAGTGGTTTCCAAAGGAGGAAATCTCTATACTGGATAACAGTTCTAATACATGGATGTGCAATTCCGATAGCCCGATGCCTGGGACATGCAGTTCCGGGCTAACACACACACACACACGGCAAGCAGCAGGGTATACCAGCAAATCGCAAAACTGTATGTCTATTTTTGCCTGAAGATAGCACAAGGTGGCTGCTGAAGATCCAAGCTCTGCACCACTCAAGGCTCCTCTGCTTACCAAATGAGCTAGTTTGCCCTGTCTGAATGCCCAAGGGCAAAAAGTCCCCCACACACTTCCAGGCGAGCAGGGTTGGCTGGAATCCCATCCTTAACTCGGCCTGGCGGTCACCCAAGATGGCACCGACTCGCGCTGCCAGCTTCTTCAGACAGACATAGCATGTGCCTTGGCACCTCATTCTACTGATGCAGCAGAAGACTAGACGGCTGGCGGCTCCTCTGCCAGCCTTACTCCTGCAGTTTTGGGGTGATCCTCCACCACAACCTCAGAGTCCTCTATGGATTAAATCCCTGTCACCTGGGCTGATGGGGATCTCCATGACAACCTCTGCTCCTTTCTCTCTCGACTGGATGACATGGCACAGAGATGTCAGGTTGCCTTTTGGCCATGAGCTGGGACCCTTACTTGTTATACGGTGTCACTGTTATGCTGCCCTTTGCTTTGCCCTGGAGGTTATAGTGAAATCTGCCTGTCCTGGCTCCCCCAGTCCTGTCTTCCTAATCCCTCATTACTCTAGCTCCCCTCCTAATAACCCATTCCCCCTACCTGCTCCTGCTGCCCCGTCCTGTCCCTTGCCTATAACCGGCAAGTGTGATTGGACGCAGTGATTGGACGCAGCTGATCACGTGTTAAAAGGCCGCTGTGATTGGCCCTTTATCATGCCATGTGACCAGCTGTGTTCAAAATGACACAGCGATCACAGGCCGCGCCTGGGGCGCATTCTGGGAGGACATCATATGATGGCCTCCCAAAACTGGACGACAGCGTTGCAGCCGTAATTCGGCTATAGCGCAGTCAAGAATAGGTTAAAAAGCACCAGACATTCCTATATATAAAAAAAAAAAAAAAAAAAAAAAAAAAAAAACTAATAAAACATATCAACCCGTCTTTTTATCAATAAAGACCCAATTTAAATTTTATTCCCTGGACAAGTAGTTTCCACAATCCTGCAATATAAAATTTGGGAATTGGAAAAGGTCTTCCCTGCTACATTTTATGGCTTCCTATGCCTTTATGGCCACACAGGGTGCAGAGAATAGAGGGACCTACTAACACATTGTAACAAAACATATAAAACCATTGTATCAAAAAACAGTGATCTCAGAGAACAACAACGAGGAAAAAGAAGGAAAGTGGAATAAAAAAAGAGAAACAAAAAGAGAGAAAATGAATAATGGATAAAAATTTAGAAAAAATTATAAATGAAAAGTAAAATGAAAAATGAAATACAGAAACACAGATAAAAGCAAGTAACTATCCCAAGAAGATATGGGCTAAGAAGCCACATTTGTAAATAATCAAAAATTTAAATTATACAAAAAAAAAAACAAAAAAAAAAAAAAAAAAAAAAAAAAAAAAAAAAAAACACGTCTACTTGGGATAAAGTACAAAAAAAAAAAAATTCACCAAAAACCATACATACTCAGACCAAAATATATCAAAACAGCAGAGAAAATATGTATCAAAAGTGACGCATCAAAAAACAAAGAAAAAATCCCAAAAGGGAAAAGAAAGACGGTATTAAAGATGTGTGTGCACATGCTCCTTTCTTGTTCTCGGAGATCACCATTTTTGATACAATGGTTTTATATGTTTTGTTACAATGTGTTAGTAGGTGTAGGTGTATCCTCAGGATTCAGGAGTGCCGATTAGGACAGGTGTTCTTAAATAACTAATACCTATATAAAACAGCACTTTTGTTTTTTTTTCTTTGTTATGATTAAGCATGCAATCGTGTGAAACACGTTAACAGGTCCTGTATTCATGTCATGGTGTTTTGTGTGTCCTACGGATCAATAAATACACACTATATTTATCAATCCTCCGGTGTGTGGCTGACCCTTCTTCCTGTTGCACTGTGTGGTGGCGAGCCAGAGCCTGCACCTGTCGTGGATTGATCTGGATTGTTTGCATGAGCGGTATACCTCTGTTCTTTGAATACTTGCATATGTCCAGTGCACAATAACTTTCTATTGGAACACTGGCATACTTTGTTTAGTTTCGCAGATACTCATGTCCAATTTTTGTAATTTAAAAGGGTCAAGCTTCTAGCTGGCTCCAGCTGCAGTAATCTTTTCTACTGTTGAATTTACAGAATCTCTGGCAATCATGGGAAGTTGTAACAGTCATTTAAAAATACCAAAACGAAAGAATTAGCTTGCGCTGTTTGGTATGCCCTTCAGAGCTACACTTTCACTATGCAACCTTAAGGACCAAGTCAATGAATTGTCACAAGTCTCTCCATACTGCAAATTTTTGTCAGTTGAGCAGATGAAAGTCTCCGTACTTATTCTAACAATGCAGTCAAAAGCTGAACTGAGCTCAGCTATAAGCCCTCGTGGTCATTTCAGGTTCTCTTTTTAAAATGACAGTCATATACTTAAATGTCATGAAACCAGGGGTGTTAAACTCCATTTCATCACGAGCCGTATCAACATTATGGCTGCCCTCAAAGAGTCGGTTGTATCTGTAAGACTAGATGTCCAGAGCACCCATCCCGCATTACATCAGATGACAAGAATCCCACACCCTCCCTAACATCACCGTGCACCCCCTTTGGTGGCACAGCTAGAAAGCAGAAAGTGCAGGGTCTGGAGGAGGACCAAAGGAAAGGAGTCAGTTACCAGAGTCTGTTGAATGCCAAGACCAGACGAGGCAGAGATGAGGGGTGCTGCAGTTGCACTGAGAGGTGCAGGATTTGGCAGAGGAGTTCTATTCTCTGCTCTGCTGAGACAAGGGGGTACCTGCAGGAGTGGTGCAAGGGCCACATGAAATGGCTTGGAGGGCCGGATTCAGCCCATGGCCCTTGTGTTTGACACCTGTGCTCTAAACCCTCTTGCCTTGGGAATGAATTGTAACTATACGGTCTCCCTTTATTTTGTAAAGTGCTTTGCAAACTGCTGCCGCCATATAAATTCTGTATATTAATCTACACACTCCTTATGAAATATCAATAACTAGGCAATGCAAAGAACTGTCTAAAACAATCCATTTAACTTCAAATCCAAATCCAGTAGGCTCTTGAAGAATACAACTGTGTGTGACTGGCTTTACATTTCGCTTGCAAAAAAATAGTACTCATTACTCGTACAGTTCTGTGCAGTGGTTTTGCACAGAGCAGCCCGGATCCTCCTCTTCTCAGGTCCCTGGCTCCTTCTTGTCCGGTGCCCCCGTAGCAAGCAGCTTGAGCAGGTGTGTTCCCAAGCCGCAGTTCTGTGTGTGGGCACCACCCCCTCTCTCTGCGCATTGGCTGGCTGGCTGTGATTGACAGCAGCCAATGAGGAGGCAGAGACTGCCTCCTTCTCCTTGATGTGGCTTAGGCAAGGGGGCTGGGGGCACTGCTGCACACAGAAGGTTTTTTACATTCATACATAGAATGCATGAAGGTAAAAAACATTGAGCCTTTACAACCAGTTTAACTTTCCTACCTAAATTTCCTGTTTAAATGCTGCTTAGGAGAGATGAAAGATGCTATAGTTTAAAGGGTACATGCATACAAAAATTGATAAATAACCATTCCTATTGTCTACTCAATATGAGCGATTCGTAAATGCCTGAATTGCCATTACGTCAGATTTAGCTAAACCTATGGATGACCAAATTTCTTGTAGATACCTGTGTACTGCAAAGAATTCTTAGGCATCCTAGTGTGCAGACAGATTAAACCTGCTGTCTTTACATTTTCAAGTTGCAAACAGGCTTTTACATACAGAGGGGCAAACAATAAATTTAACTATTCCTTCTATTTAGTCATACAGGAAGAAGACTGGGCTTTACTGCATCTCTCACAGGATTGGGGGAAAAAAAAAATGGTCTCTACAAAAAGGACACTTTCTCCTTCTGCCATCCTAATTGCACTCTGCTTTACAGATCACTAGAGGGGCATTTACATATCTGTGCAACAGAATAATTCAAATGTGGAACAATAATAATAAAACAAACTTTCTAGTGTGACAATGTAAAATACACCATAGTCACCCTTAAGTGTGTGCGCACTTGCAAGTGTAGAATGGCACTGTAAACAGTATTTTTCTTCTACTTACCACTGTAAGGTTGCGAATATCTTCCATCACTCTTGGCCAAAACGACTGCAAATTTTGCTGTGCATCAGAGTTCCCTGCACCAAACCCCCCATCTGTAGACATGTTCAGACCTGAGAGAAAGAAAACGGATTAAAAATCAAAGATCTGAAAAAAACAAACATACAAGCAATAAACTTCCAAAAAGGAGCAGAATATCCACTGAAATTGCCTGGTGTTACCAGCATAAAAACTAAATGGCCTGCACTATGCAGTTCTGCAGCCTCATGCTTATCTGCAATGCACTATAGAAAACCGAACAAAGGATTAATTGAGAAAGGGGCTCTCTGTGTATGAGTGAGAGAAATGTAGCACAAGGATCTCAACTGAATATGTACACTAGTATATAGCAAGAACTATTTACAGACAGTTAACGACACTAAAGCAATGTGACAAGGCCCTGCACGTCCTCAAACATTTAAAGGCAAAACACAACCAAGAAAGAATTCTGTGGGAAACTCTACATTGCTGCAGATGTTGCAGGGCAGTGCTATACAAGAACTTCATTGTCTTAAGAGAGAGAAGAAAAAAAAAAAAAAAAAGGCGTATATCTGTTATTTGAAAATACTACTACAATATATCCCAATGAATGAAAAGCAGAGCTCTGTAGCAGACTTGCTTGTTGTAGAGCAATGTAATATTAACACACAGCCACCCGGAATGTGGTTTCCTTTTTCTGCAGACACTAGGAGTATATGACAAAGTAGTCGTCATGATCAGAAATAAGGACGTATTGCTCAAAGAACCATTCTGCTGCCAAACATGTCTGGAGTTTTTCTTAAAATTGCAAACTATATATTTACAGAGAAACTTTTCAAAAGTGCAGCTTCAGGACTATTTGAAAGATCAGACAAGAAATTTGTGGCTTGTATACAGGGCTTTTCTTTGATGTTGAACTGTTTCTTTTGTCATACAAAACAGGAACAAAAAAAAAAAAAAAACACAATACAAAGAAACAAGCAGCTTGAAGCTGGGTGAAACTGCTAAGACGGTTCAAACGCAGATCAATGTTCTTGTGTATGAACTCTGAATGATATCAGAAGCATCTCAAAATTAGGCCAAAAGTACTTTGCCTTCTTACTAAAGGCTTGTGCTGATGGGAAGTCATCTGAACAGATATGGAGAAGCCTGGTAACTAGTGATTGGTCTAGTGCTGTCACATGGGGATGAAGAGGGGAATTCTTCCTAAAAATGTAAGGAGCATTCTTCCCAATGGCCATCACACCAACGTACAGTGAGCTGTAGAAATAGTAATTAGCAGGGGTTAGAAGTACAGGCTGAGAAAGGCTGATCTAGAATGAAAATGACCAGTATCTGCAAAGAGACTGTAAGGTAATAGCTATAACTATATATAACTATGTCAAGCGTATTCTCTGAAAAGCATAAACTGGTCAAACAAACAAAATAAAAAAGATCAGAAGATGCAACTCCTTGGATTTCACTCGTAGCGTGCCTTCGCTTTTGTGCAAAGTAGTTGAATTCCTGGAATTCAGCTTTTACTCTACAACTTTTACCTAACACTGAATATCATTTTTGGATAGACTGGCCATCTGGACTTCAAAATTATTGGCCCTGGGAAACTTTTGGAGACTATTTCTGCAAACAATAATATATATTGATCTTTTAGATTGTAAGCTCCAAGGAGCAGGGCCCTTCTAACCCTCCTTGTATTGAATTGTATTGTCTCCCGTTATATTGTAAAGCACTGAGCGAACTGTTGGCGCTATATAAATCCTGTATAATAATAATAATAACAACAACAACAGTATTCAGGAGCATGAACTTTTAAATGTATTTCAAAATCATTTATTTATAATTTGTCTTCACATTTACCCAATAGAACTTGTCTTATAACGGAGACCTCATATGAGGTTTTGCAGGGCAAATTATAAAATTAAAGCTTAAAATATGATTGGCCAATATGGTTCACACCTCCACTTTTACTTTCATAGATTGTTCATAAAATCGCTAACTACAGTGTTTCCCAGACTGAGTTTAACAGCCTGGAGTTACTAAACACCTTCCACCACCCTGTTTTATTTGTAGCCACAAAAAAGTGGTCAGAGTCTAAAAATATCAAGTGTGTTCTCTTTCAAGTATTAACAAAACCTTTAAACAACTCCTGACATATGCCAAGTGTACTTGCTGCTATGAATCATAGAGCATGCAGCTAAATTTGGCTCCACGCTGCGAGTTTTGGATTCTGCAGTTGTAAAACTGCAAGAAGTAAATCAGATCCCTGAACATTCAACACAGTGACTCAATCACTGCTTCCACTGGTCACAAACAAAACAGTATGGTGTACACTGTACTGGCAATGAGAATTAATCAACAAGTAGGTTTGTAAAAGGAATTGAATATTGAATGAAAGAATGAATCCAGGTGTGGTTGTATTTATCTGCAGTGGTAAAATAAAGGTTAGTTACAATTATGTGTCCTTTATTTTATATGGAAAATAATTATGATCCGTTATCTATAAAAGACTAATGTGATAAACGGGCTTATTAAACCAAAGGCTACAATCTATTTCCGGGATTATCACCCTCATTCTGAGGGTACTGTTCATTAATCATTTGCACAAACATTTAAATATGTTGCACAAGGACTCTATGAGCACTATGGGTTAGCCACAGGGACATTTTATAGAAAAGCGAATTTAGACTTTCTCCCCATGTAAATTCAATGTACAGGATTTGTTGATTTTTGAAGCCACAATAAACCCACCAGCATCCAAGTTTAAATAGTTTGGGAATAAAACAAAAACACAGTATGTGGCTGTTCACTTTCAGTCTCCTCTATGGAGATTCAACAACTTCCAGAAATGAACTATATATGCCAGATGACCAAAACCCCTTGACGCCGTCGGCACACAAATATGCGGCCTCACAGAACTGGGCTTTTTTCCATGGGGCAGCATATTTGTGTACTTGTCTTTGTGCTGGGAGCGCGCCGCTCGGCGCGCTCCCAACACAGACACCGCGGTGTCACTAAGAGCCCCGGGTCCCGTTCTAACGATCGGGACTCCCAATTCCAGGTCACAAGATCGCTGTGATAGCCTCTGATTGAAAAAATACCCAGATCAAGGTTTGATCTAGTTCAGTGCCAGGGTTAGTTTTAAGGTCAGGGTCAAGATTTAAAAAAAAAAAAAAAAAATTGGTGTCAGTGTTAATGTCAGTGTGTTTTAGGTAAAAAAAAAAAAAAAAAAAAAAAAAAAAAAGACAAACAAAATGTGCACTATTGTTTCTGGGCTGTATTACAGGTACAAACAACAAATAACATACACATACATGGTATCGCTGCGATCATCAAGAGCTGGAAAATTTATTTTGGCTTCTTTGGTGGTAGGTTATGGTCGTAACAAGAAACTCACACAGCTAAATAAAAAATATTTTTTTTTTTTACTATTTTGGGACAGTTTTTCTTTGATGATAATAATAAAAAAAAAAGGGAGCTATCCATTACCATTGACCACCAAATGAAAGCCCAAATTGTCCTGAAAAAAAATCAAGGTATAATCCACCTGGATGTACAAAGCAGTTGTGATATGTACGGTTTTACAACGTTGCAGAATTGTGCTTAGGCGTTTAGATTTGTTTTACCCTTAGGTGTGAAGGGGTTAAGCTATCCACGGTCAACAATGAGCCTAGACTACAATGCCTTCACTGAATTTCACCACCACCAAACACAGCTTCTTACCAACTGAGTAGACCAAGTCATAGGTGGTCTAAAACAGCATGTTTCAATCAGGGATCATTAACCTACGGATCAAAAACCAACAATGAGGATCACAGCAGCAGGATACTCCAAAGGCATTCGAGAACTAGAAGGTACATCAGCAGAAATTATTTACTAGCAGCACTATGCCTCCATCATGCATCCAGTTTTTTTCTTTTATGGGATAACATGTATGAAGAAGACAGAGTGCAGATAGTGAATCCCTGCTGATGTGCCTTCACCTACAGCCATTAACCTAGAATCTCCCCCCCCAGACAGAATGGCTTTTGTTGGAAAATAAATAATAGTGGCTAATTAGCCGCTGGATTGCTTTCAAAGGCAGCAGGAAAAAGGGGTCTACGGTGGTGTACAATTTTAAAGCATGACATGTTTGGCGTCTACTTATTCATCGTAACATCATCTTTTAATTTTACCAAGCAATTGTGTATTATATTGTGTTTGCGTTTGAAAAACCGCTGCACAAATATTAAGTGGCAAAAAGCACCCATCATTTCATTAACTAGGGCCTCCGCTTCAAAAATATATAATGTTGGGGGTTTTTCTAGCAAAAAAATGCTGAATATTGCATATGTAAAAATTGTCAGGATAGGCCTGGTCTCAAAGTGGTTAATGTGATTTGGTTCACCTGGTGCAACACATAGAACTTGTCACTTTAACATTGGTAATTTTAATATTCATGCCACAAAACTGGCACATTTCCCGTTGTTAATTTCCCCCAAAGTCTTTTAGTATGCATGAGCCACAAGATTTTGTGGTCTTCGAGCTATGCCCTTGTTGGCACAACCCTGCTCAACAAAAGTTGACTTGCATGGTGTCGCTGGTAAACAGATGACAGTTTTCAATGCCAATGGCTGGACAACCGGAGTGCAAACACAAGCATGGTGCTTTGAATTTATCAAGGTACGCTTGTGATATGGCCGTTTAGTGTTCACTGAGTAAATCCAGGATGACCTTCCATTTAAGCTGAATAAGGACCCAGACTGGTTTCCAGCTGATAAATGCTGCATTTCATTAAAGAATTATGCAGCTAAATACTTCTGGAAACGTTTTTGGGCTTGTTCACATTGGCAGCTGGGGGGCAGTAAAACCTAGCAGTTAAGCCATGCTCTTACTGCACCCCTAAAACCGCTGCTGCCAGGTGTGTGCACTTGGCACAGCTACGATGCTTTGCGGTTGCAAGAATTATGCACGGTCGCTTTCAACCCATTCAAGTGAATGGGGCTGTTCTGCATGCATCCCGCAGTAGTGTGCAATGCATGTGGTTGCAGCACACTAGTGTGGAGTTAAAAGTGTAAAATGCTCTTTGAAAAGTGATCCAAAACAAATCACTGTTCAGAGG